AATTTATCCTCGATTTCCAGTGGGGGGGGGTCGGGGAACGTTGAAAAAACACGTGGTATCCGTACCCCCCCCCAACCCGAAATTCGGGTCAAATTCGGGTCTTCGGGTTGGGTTGGGGTGGTCTGGTAGGTAGTCAGATCCTGCACGATGCCCGACAGACAGCACCTGCCCATCGCCGACCGTGGCCGCTGCTGGGCAGGCGGCCCATGGGCCCGCCGCCGCCGAGCTGCGCCGCGCGGCCCTCCCGGGGAGGGGCGGCGGGGCCGCCGCCGAGCCGCGCGCGGCCGCCTCGGAGAGGGCCCTCGGCGGCCGCGGGGCGCAGACCTGCCTCGGCGTCCTGGGTTTGCACTGCTCCTTCTCCTCGTGGCAACGTCGACAAGCGTGTACACGATGATGGTGATAGCAGCAGCGATGTTAGTGACGATGCTGACAGCGACGACGACACGGCCAGTGACGGCGCCGATGCCGATCACGCCGACGACGATGACGGCGTCTTCGAGTCGTTGATGAAGGTTCTGAAAGGAATTCGAAATGCGCACGCGGCAGACGCGCGAGAGAGGCTCGCATGGTATTATTTGACACGGACCGTGCCACCCCGGCACGCGCGCAAGGACGTTCGAACGATTTCGGCATGCGCGCGCGAAACCCGTTTGGTAGCATAGTTTTCTTCATAATTCGCAGGAGCGCGCGCGCTTGTGTTGAGAATCCATGTTGCGAAACTCTATGGTTTTGTATGTTTTGGGGGACATTCGATTTTGAAACCTTTCTGAGACCAAGGATTGTTGAAGCTTTCCGGCATTCGCGCGCGACGACGCGCGCACGTGCACTTCGCCTATTTTTTGCAAAAGGACTCTCTCGACGGCATGCGCGCAAAGGCGTTCGAACGCTTTGAAAGAGCGTGCTCTACCGCTGCTGGCGGAAAACCGGGGGGGGTCACTACCGGTTCGAACACCTCCCCCTCCCCCACCCCCACCCACCCTCCGGAAAACCGGGTGGGGGTCACTACCGGTTCGAACCCCCCCCGCCAGTCCATCATGAAAAGGGGGGGGGGTCACTACCGGTTTGAGACCCCCCCCCCTCGAAAACCAGGGGGGGTCACTACCGGTTCGAACCCTCCCCCCTCCTCGAAAACCCGAGGGGGGTGCGGACAGTGGTGGGGACGGTGGTGGTGGGGACAGTGGTGAGGGGACAGCGGGACAGTGGTGGGGACAGTGGGACAGTGGTGGGGACGGTAGTGGTGGGAACAGTGGTGAGGACAATGGCGGGAACAGTGGGGACAGTGGGACAGTGGTGGGGACGGTGGTGGTGGGGACAGTGGTGTGGGGACAGTGGGAATGTGGTGGAAACAGTGGGACAGTGGAGGGTACAGCGGTGGTGGGGACAGTGGTGAAGGCGGTGGCGAGGACGGCGGTGGGATAATGAAACAGAGGTACAGTGGGGACCGTGGTGGGGACAGTGGGGACAGTGGTGGGAACAGTGGGACAGCTCAGTGGGACAGCGGAGGAGTCAGTGGGACAGTGGGGACAGTGGGGATAGTCGGGCAGTGGTTGGGGCCGTGGAGAAAGTGGGGAGAGTGGAACCGTGGTGGGGACAGCAGGGACAGTGCGACAGTGGTGGGGGCACTGGTGGGGACAGTAGGGACGGTGGTGGAACCAGCGGGGACAGTGGTGGTGAGGACAGTGGTGCTGGGAACAACAGTGGGAGATGTGGCGCGGACGGTGGTAGGGACCGGGGGTCGTTTGCTGGCGGTGAGAGGAGGCCTCGGGGGAGGGGTTCGAACCGATAGTGCCCCCCCCCTCCGGTTTTCGAGGGGGGGTCTCGAACCGGTAGTGACCCCCCCGGTTTTCGAGGGGGAAGGAGAGGGGAGGGGGGTTCGAACCGGTAGTGACCCCCCCCCCCCCGTGGCTTTCGAGGGTGAGGGGGGAGGGGGGAAGGGGGGTTTAGAGGGCAAAGGGGGGGGGGTGCTCGGGGGGGGGAAAGGGGGGGGGGGTCCAGCGGGCCGGGGGGGGTGGGGGATTTTTCGGAGAGGGAGAAAGAACCCCAGGCATCCTGAGAAAGAGGGGGGGAATTTTTCCACAGTAAAGGCGGCGGTGGATCAATCCGCTCTCTCAAACGATTTTTCGAACACGCGCGGCGGCGAAGCCCGTTTTGGTAATATCTTCTGACATCGTTGAAACATTTAATGACCTTGGTTTTGTTTTCGAAAAAATCGCAAGAGCGAAGCGGGCGCGAACGCGAGCGGCGGCGCGCGCATTATTTTGTTTTGATCATCTGTGTTGCGAAACCCTATGCTTTTATATGGTTGCTTGGACATTCGATTTAATTTCTCCCGAAACCGAAGGTGTTCGAAGCATTTCGGCATGCGCGCGCGACGACGCGCGCGTGCACACTTCGTTTTGCTTTTGCAAAGGATTCTTGACAATTTAAGATTTCTGGTAAACGAATGCGCGCGCATATGATGTTTTGCAGAGGATGGCGGGTGGGGCCGATACCGGCCTGGCTGGGACAGTATGAATTCACAGGTAGGATGGATATTTGGGTCAGAATCCTGGGAGTTTTGCATCGGTTCCCAGGGAGTATTTCAGTCCGGGGGGAGGAGGGTGGTATAATTTATTTATTCTTAGAAAGGAGAATGTGTGCGATGCAACCTACGAGCTGGTATGTGTATATATATATATATGTATAAAAATATGCGGTGCGATGTACATGGTGCGGTTTGGTTTTAGTACACGAGTTGACACATCCCGTGCTCTTGTAAACATCCCACCCACCCACCCGCAACTTGGTTTGTAAAACCTATAAGGTGGCGATGCATGCTCGGCGTTGGCTGGTGCGTCTCTGCGGCCGCGCCAACCCAGGCACGCGCGCGCAGCGGCCAGGTGGTCTGGCACGGCCGACGCGGCCGCGGTGGCGCGGATCGCTGGGCACGTACCAGCGGGCACTTCATTGCGAGTCGGCGACTTCGGCGGGCGCGGTATCATGGCAACGTCGACAACGGTAGACATTGCGGGCGAGTCCCCAACGATTTCGACGACGGCAACGACGACGACGACGACAACACCGACGACGACGGCGACGCCGACGACGACGGCGACGATGACAACGCCGACGACGACGACGCCGCCGCCGACGACGACGACGACGACGCCGACGACGACGACGACGACGCCGACGACGACGATGACGACGGCGGCGGCGACGACGACGACGCCGACGTCGACGACGACGAAAATGACGACGGAAACGACGACGACGCCGACGACGACGACGACGTCGCCAATGACGACGAGGGAGGAGGGAGGACGACGACGGCGACAACGACGACAACGACGGGGGAGGAGGGAGGACGGCGACGACGCGAACAACGAAGAAGGATTGAGGACGGCGGCGCCGACGACGACAACGACGGGGGAGGAGGGATGACGACGACGACGATGACGACGACGACGACGACGACGACGGCGTCGAAATAGAACGGACGACGAGACGCCGACGACGGACGACGACGACGAGGGAGGAGGAGGAAGGGCGACCACGGCGACAACGACGACGGAAAGGACCACGGCGCCAAACAGGACGACGACGACGACGACGACGACGAGGAAAGACAGAGGACGACGACGGCGACGGCGACGGCGACGACAAGGGAGGAGGGAGGACGGCGATGACGAGGACGACGCAGGAGCGCAAGAGCGCGCGCGCACGCTTTTGTTGAAAGTCCGTGTTGCGAAACCTTGTGTTTGGTATGTTTTGCGGACACGATTTTGAAGTCTTTCCGAAACCGAAAGTTTTTGAAGGATTTCGGCATGCGCGCGCGACGACGCACGCGGCACGCGCGCAAGGGCGTTCGAAAGATTTCGGCATGTTCGACATGCGCTCGCGCGAAGACCGTTTGGTAGCATTTTTGAAAATCTTGAAAAATCGATGGTGTTCTTAAGGTTTCGCAAAAGTGCGCGCGTAAGCTTTAATAGAAATTCGTGTTGCGAATCCTTATGTGTTTGTATGATTTTTGGGACACTCGATTTTGAAGTCCTTCCGAAACCAAAGGTTATTGAAGGATTCCGGCATGCGCGCGCGACGACGCGCGCGTGTGCACTTCGTCTTGTTTTTCTGCCAGGGATTCTTGAAACGCACTCGCGCATCGCATTTGTTGCAGAGGATGGCGGGGGGGGGGGGGG